ATCAAGGCAATGGCATTCACACTTGGCGAGGTGTTTGATTTGTTTGGGTTTTATTCAGTGTCTGGCGGATACGTGTGTGTTTCGGTTGATCCAGGAGGGAAGATTGGTAGTGACTCTGGTAGTACATGTGGATAACATGTTTTCGATTGGAGAGGAGGAGAGGTGTGACCAATTTGGTAGGGACCTCAACACCATGGTACCGGTGAAGAATCTTGGTGACTTGAGGCGGTACTCTGGATGTTTTTATGAGAGAGATTGGGATGCAGGGACTTTGAAGATCTCGCAGCAGACGTACGCTGAAGAGTTGGGGATGGAGTTTGGGGTAGAGTACGGGAAGGAAATTCCTCTTCCTGTAGGGTTGAAGCTTTCAGAGTTTGACCAGGATGAGGAAGTGGTATCATGGCCTTTTCGCGAGCTGATAGGATCACTGATGTGGCTGGCAGCATAAACGAGGCCAGATATCGCGAATGCAGTAAGAGCGGTAGCACGGTACTGTGCTTCTCCCAAAGAAATTCATTGGAGAGAAGGTCTTGGTAGTTTGGGGTGTGTGATNTGGTATCATGGCCTTTTCGCGAGCTGATAGGATCACTGATGTGGCTGGCAGCATAAACGAGGCCAGATATCGCGAATGCAGTAAGAGCGGTAGCACGGTACTGTGCTTCTCCCAAAGAAATTCATTGGAGAGAAGGTCTTGGTAGTTTGGGGTGTGTGATAAGGACTAGTGACTTGGGGATTACATTCAGGAGGGGTAGTGTAGCAGGGTTGAGCATGGAGGTGTTCGCAGACGCAGACTATGCAAGCAAGGCTGCCGATAGGAGGTCTGTGTCAGGAGGCTTGGTGATGTGTGGGGGGGGATGTATTTCTTGGTTTTCAAGGACGCAGAAGTGCGTTACGTTGAGCACGACAGAGGCGGAGTATGTCTCCCTTGCGGATGTGATGAAGGAAGTGTGGTTTCTGAGGCAGGTATGGCGTTTCATGTTGCCAGAAGCAGGTATGCCGTGTATTCCGGTGTTCGAGGATAACCAGGGGGCTATTCAGCTGGCGCAGAACCCGATTAGCAACAGTAACTCGAAGCACATCGACCTAAGGCACCACTTTATCAGGGAACTCGTAGGTAGGAAGGAGATTTCGATTTTTCACGTGGAATCAGCGTATCAACATGCTGACTTCTTCACGAAGGCACTTCACATCGGAGATTTTGAGATTCATCGTAATTTCGTGATGAGTGTGGGACAGGAACGGTAGATTTGGATTTACTTGTGTTTGATCAAAGAACTAGGGTGGCATTGTTTTACATTTTTGCATATGGTCTTCTCAATGAACGGTGCTCTAGGATGGGGGGCAATTGGATCGCTCCAGATTATCGACGAACTACAATGAATGGAATGATCGGGGATGGAAATATATTTCTAGCCCACAAAGCTATTGTTGCAGATTTGAGTTGTGTTTTGGATTATTTTCTTGTGTTTTGGAGTTAGAGCCTGTCTTATCGGAATCGGAAAAATCTGTTTCCAGGAAATCAAAAATCAAAATTGGGCTCTGATTGGCCAAGAGGCCCGGAAGCCCGTGAACGGCGATTTTGAATTACCGAAAAATCTGTATCGCGGCGAAAGTCCCCAAGGACTTTTTTTGTCCGTGTCCAGAAAATCTGTTTTGGAGTCTCAACGCATGGAAGGCTTCGGCAACGCTCCACCTACTTGGCTGGCAACCACACAGCGCTAGTTGCTCTCTCTCCGACTGTCGAGACACACACAATCACATACGGCGAGCACGCATAGCATGGTAGATGACATGCTAGAGACGGCCACGGCCGAAAATTGCGCAACGGGAAGGAGCCAGCGCGTCGGCCTGCTTTCCGGAGCCCAGACGGGGGCGAGGCTGCTGCCGCCCGTACAAGGCGAGGCAGCTGCTGAGAACGGCAGCAAGCGGAGCGTTGGTGTCGCGGACGTTGACCGCTTCAACGCGGGGTTAGCGCGAGCCGCTCAATATCGGTCGGAGGCTGGTTGTGATCATGATTATCATGGGGAAGATTCCGACAGCTCTCCTGTTGATGTGGACGACCAACGGCAGCAGCAGGCAGTCGGTTTGTCTTGGGCTACCCGTAGCCTAATGGGCGGGCGCGCTTTGTCTCAGGCCTTCACGGCTTGTGGGAGCGATCGACAACCTACGTGGCAGTACCCTTCTGCGGTCGGCGAAGAAGGTGGCAACACCGAAGTACGCTGCTGTTGCAAAGATGGTTTTGTTTTTTTTGGCATCGGTCCGCGAGGTGGTCCTTCAGATGTACAAGTACCAGTACCGCATTAGTAGAGTACAGAGAAGGACATGTAGTCCGTCTACACGACGGCAGCAGCAGCAGCAGCAGCAAGCAGCACTCCATTCGAGAATGCTTGCTCTAGTGCGTAGCATGGTGGCCACATGGTGCAGGTGGGCAGTTCTTTGGGGGTGCTATCGCTCCGTATCAGTGCCCCACACGCAAATTGTGCTGGTTTACGAGGAGGACAAACAACAGCAGTCTAAACAAGGGCTGTACAGATACAAAACAAGGTTTGCGTTTGCTAGGCTCTCGAGATCGGATTTTTCATGAACTCCACCTGGCATAGCTAGACTACAAGTGCTGCTGCTGTAGGTTTGTTGTTCATGAACGCATGCTTTCTCTTTGGTTTCTTTGTTGTTTTGGCGCGGCAACACGTACTTGCGTCTAGTCTGGCACCTCTCGTCTTGCACCGCCGCGACCACGGTTGCTTTTGTGGTATCGTGCAGGAGGATCGAAAAGTGGAGGATCCTATGCTTGTAGAAGTGGGTGGAGAGGATGGCGATGGGTGTTCTCCAGTCGCGGGTGGACAGCATGATGGCGTGCTGGATGCACTTTCAGGGCAGGTGAGAGGATAGTAGGAGGGCAGAAGTACCTGTAGCTAGATAGAGGACACCAGCGGCAAGAAACGCTTGCCGCTAGCCGGGAACCACAGCTCACGCCGTATTTTTTTGGGGGGGTAGGGTTACGCGCGGGTACGGCAGGCGCTATCGTTGGGCGCGGGGTGTGCATATTCCCCCTGTACAGTATGTGGACACGTTCCGTGACGCGATACAAAAAACTATGATCAAAACATAATGCGACACGGTATTTTTCGCCCTCTACAGTATCGTCCACGGCCACGAGACTCCGCCTGTACCCACAACCAGTTTCCACATGGCGCATCGTTGGAAGTCGACCTCTCCTAGGAAAGTCAATCAACATGCGCGTCGACTCTTAGAAAGGATGGGAACAAAACAGGATATCGCAGTCCTCCAAACGTTTCTGGTGTTGTTCATGGCGCGGCTGCTGCTGCCGCGGGCGTTTTGATGTTGCTTGCGTCGGTGGTGGTGGTGGTGGCGGGAGCAGCGTGTTTTGTTTCGCATTAGTGATGGACATGATGAAATCGACCATCTGTTGATTTCGAACGGTTGGCGCCGCAATGGATAAAAAGGCGGTGTTTGGGGGGTAGCACGCCCGTACATGAATGAAAGGCCAATTACCATGAAACCCTCACGAGGAGCCAACATTGGAGGCCGTTTTTGTCGCGCCACGGGATAACCATGACATGTCGCCTTCCCGTGTCTCTTCACTTTCCTTGTACTCTGAACACGTCTAGGTGACGGCTGGCTCCATGTCTCCTCCCCCTCCGCCTTCTCTATTCCAAGGGCGAGGGGCTTTACCCCCGCCTCCGCTGTCTACTACGGTGGCGGCGGCACCCGTGTACCCACCCCCAG